ATCTTCGACGAGCAGGGCTGAGAGAGCTTTGACTTTCCGGGAGAGACTTCTGGGCACATATGACCAGCCACACACATGACCAGCCACGCGGGTGTGGCTGTGGAGGGTCACAGGTCAACTCTGCATTGGAGCATGCCAAGCGAAACTTTACAATTGGACACGTCCAATGATCATTTCAACTTATTCATAGCAGCGATTTTCATGGGAAAGGTGTTTCTTGCAGATGGTAAATATATTTTTTCCTATCGGAAGGCATCATGCTTTCATGTCCTCATACTCATTTCTCTACATACAGAAGGGGTCCAAATATACTCAAAAGAATAAAATCAGCTCAGGTGCTGCTACCGACGGCCGCGAGATGATTGACTGTTTAAGCACGGACAAGGGTGAGGCCGTAGGTGGACAGGATCTCGTTGACCGGCTGGAAGTAGGTGGTACCGCCGGAAGAGCAGTCGCCGGAACCTCCTGAGGTGACACCCTGGGCCTGGGCGCCAGAGTAGAAAGAACCACCAGAGTCACCGGGCTCGGCGCAGACACTGGTGCGGGTAAGACCGGTGACACGTCCCTCAGAGTAGTTGACGGTGGCACCGAGGGCACCGACGGTACCGCAGAAGACACCAGTGGTGGAGCCGGAGCGGCAGATGGAGGCACCGACAGCGGAGGCAGTGGAGCCGGAGACGGGGAGGTCGCCACGTCCGTATCCGTCAATGTAGCCACGGAGGGTGGTTCCGGAGACGGTGCGGATGTAAGACATATCGGCGGAGCCGGGGAAGACGGAGCCGGAGAAGGTTCCGAGGGAGGCACCGGCGGAGGTGGTGGCAGTGTCGCCGGCGCTACCGCAGTGACCGGCGGAGACGAAACCGGTGGTGACGGAGAAACCGATGGAGCAACGAGCGGCACGGTTGATGAGGTAGGCGTCACCACCGAGGACGGTGGCGAAGGTGGAGGGCATCGACTCAACGGTGCGGACCTCGAACTCGCCGGCGGCGAGGCCGACCTCCTTGGCGAGGGACTCGGCGGTAGCGGTGCTGCCGGCAAGGGACTCGATGACGAGCTTGTTGGCGGCGACATCGACGAAGTAAGAGGCGATGCCGGAAGAGGCGGAGGCCTCGTCGCGGCGGGCGGGGGCCTCGATGTCAATGGCATCGAGAGCGGCCTTGGCCTCCTCGAGCTTGGAGAGGGGGTTGGCGAGGATGACGGGGGTGGCACCGGCGGAGGTGACATCGGCAGCCAGGGACTCGTCAGTGACACCGACCTTGAGGGTGGTGCCGTCCTCAGAGATCCAGGCACCGGCGAAGCCAGCAGAGCCCTTGAGGGACTCAACGACATCGGCGGAGCGGTGCTCGAAGGCGACGCGCTTGGTGGCAGCCTCGGCATCCAGACCGAAGTCGCGCTTCATGGCGGCCAGGATCTTGGGGTGAAGGCTGGTCGCGGCCGAGGTGGGGGCACCGTAGGCGATGGGGAGGACCATGGCCAGGAAACCGAGGAACTTGGTGAGCTCCATGATTGGCGTTCTGAAGAGGTAGACAACGGGTGGATGGGAAGTGAGGTGAGTCTAGGAGGCTGCTGAAGAGTCAGATGAGTCTAGAGTGCTGATCAAAAAACCTTCCAGACTGGATGAGAAGATGCAAACTTATATACTCATCTTGGCTCAAGGATCGTGACGAGAATCATGGGCTTGTTGTTGCTAACTTGCTATCCAAGATGGAGTCCTACACAACGCCCCAGCCATCGTGTAACTCCTCCTTCCCAATCCGCCTCAAAGCCGGCCTACGATGTTATCGTAGGTTTCCTTGATTCCAGCTGGGCCTTCCTCAACAGGCACATCAGAAGACAACGGCCCCGCGATGTCACCGCAAGCTTCCAGGAGATCAGCGGAACTTCCTCACTAGGCACTTCGGACGACATCTGCACTGCGATGTCACTGCAGGTTTCCATGGTATCAACAGGGCCTTCCACAAGAGGCACTCGAAATGGTTTCCGCCCTGCGATGTCACCGCAGCCATGATATCACCAGATCTCTCGCCGCCTTCCTCAAAGGGCACTTGGGAAGAGAGCTACCCCGCGAAGTGGCTAGCACTTGTTGGTCGGGTGAGTCCTTCAAGGTGCCTTCGGAGGCTACCGCCTACCCCGCGATGTGATGGTATACGTATAGCTAAATAGGAAGGAGTACAAGATCCTCAAGATAGGAATCAGGTTGGGGCCCCTTGGGGGCAACTTGTGAAGTTGGGGCAACCGTTGGGGAGCACGGGAGCTGTTAGCCTGCTCGTCGATGAGGTGCAGGATCTCTTGGCCCGGCACTGGGTCTCGCCAACTCACGCGGCGTCACGCCTCTAACGCTTGTTTGAGTTTTGCATTATGCTTAAATCAGGTGCAGATCATCGGCTTCGGCGCGGCTGTATCTTCATATTCGGAAGGCCAACGGGAACATGCTCGCCCGCATCGGAGATGTACAGCGCCGGACGGCCAGGCGACCAAGCTATTCGCCCATGAGGCTTTCGGTCGGCCCTCTCTTCGGGAAGGTAGCATGATGGCTTACAGACCCGAGCGTATTAGGAAGGCCAGGAGGGGGCGCGGAGGACGGAGGTAGGCCGTAGAAACATCAACTCGCGAGTGCGAGTGCCCCAATGTATCAAGGATTCAAGAAACGACTGGGAGATGAACGGGAGGCGTCGAACAACTGGCGTCTTGGCGCGGCAATTCTCCACCTCTTAGAGGTTTGCCGGCGCATCCAACCTATCAACCGCTGCAACCCTACTATCTCTTGGCGTCTGACGGGCAGCTCGCTTGCTGGGAAGGATGCTCTTCTGGTCAGACGACTGGCGCTTAGAAACTTAATCTCGAGTACCTGGATGGATCGAAGACACATGCAGAGTCGTCGACTTTGAGTGCCGTGGGCGGTTGGCAGGAGAAGTCAAGAAGTTATAGCTATGGTGCTGCTTAGTAACAGCACCTATCCATACATGCACACGCGTGACCCGGCATTTGCCCCAACTTCACGGCCCGTCCCGGACAATAAGCAGTGGAATCCTCCGAGGGCACAGCAGGAGCATGGCATATCTCTAGGAGGAAGGGTTGTCGAGAAAAGATGCTTCAATATCCAAAGAAGTTGTTCATGGCTATTTCCTTCCAGGAGAGTCTTTGACAGCGATCCATGTAAGTGCCAAATCGTAGTACTGGGGGATGCGGGGGGAGTCCGAGAGAGTAGAGACGGCGTTTGCTACGTCCGGCCTCGCAGGATCCTGCACGGACCTTGCGGAGTCTGGCGACAAGAAAGACTGCCACGAAGTTTGGCTACGATGAAATGACAGGAATTGAAAGGTTGGCAAATGCAAATTTGTGGATGAGTTGATGAATGGGGAAGCTGTGAGTTATATCAAAAGTGGGCAGATATCAACTCTTGGCATTTCCCTTGTTGACGAATTGGCATTAGAGGATTCTTCCTTTTTATGATGCTACTGTAGTACAGAAGAAGTAATCAATAACACCTCATGTCACACGTCTGGAAATACCACGTGCAGTTCTCAGCACCATGGAAACCTGAGTTACAATACTTGAACAATTCGCCTCCGAGATAAGCGCAAATCGACTAGGCAGCGGGACGGCTTTCCATAATCAGAAGACTCTCGTGCTGCTGAACCTACATGTATGTATTTTCCTCTCACGCCCAGCTTCGCTCGACATCAGGTTGCCAGTCCGTGACAGACGATCCTCTGATACCGCGATGTTTTGATTGTGATGGTATAGATTCCTACCCCCTTCTAGAGCTTCCTCATTAGGAAGGCTTTCGGGCGACTAGCCTTTCGAATCGTGATGGCAACTTGACTGACGATGTCATCCGACACATCCGACATGGGTGTTCGTCGCCATCAATTCCAAGCCTCATCCTCTAAGACATCGAATGCCTTGCTGCACCCCGAATCAGCCCCCTCGAACAGCTGACAATTTGGCGCCCCGACTACGTTCTGGAATGACAGCAGACAGAGGGATCGCAGAGGGCTCTCGACCGTGTCGCGGGCGTGATGTCAGTTTCTATTTTTGAGTAACGCTCGGAGCAGAGCCAAGAGCGCCTCGCCCCCATCTCTCCGTCTTGGCGACAATCAATCCAGGATGGAGCCTTGGGGAAATAGTGGCGTCGTGTAGCGTCGTTCGACGGGAGCGAAAGGGAAATTGAGTGGTGTCTGCAGGAGTTTCAGGGCAACAAACGGCGCCAAGTTTCCCCTGGCCCGCCCCTGGCCTAGGCATCTGGGGGGCTTCTGGACAGCTCTACGGAGGGCACGTGCGCGTCTGGAAATGTTCCAGACTCTTACATCCATCACAACGTCAGGAACGGAACTTTTCTCTAGGTAGCGGTGGATATCTTTTGGTCAGGTGCTAATTGGAATGCGCTAGACTTTCTGAGAGATTTCTTCAAAAATCTAGGTCTAGTGCTGAAGCTATGCTTCACGTAGTAATGGACTGGTGTAAGAGTACTACCATTGACGCTGAGCCTTCGTCAGCCACTTTGTGGCGAATGCTGAGGCTTGTTCCATAGGCACTATTTACTTTTGTGGCACAAGATCCTGCGTACGATTCATCAAACTCTGATCCAAGAGTTTTCTGTATGGCTCATTGACTGAAGTGAGAGACTGATATGTCAAAAAATTGGATTAATGAGGAAAGAAAATGAATTAGGTAGGAGGGTAACAATAATGATTTAACTTATCACACCACAAAAACTATTCCATGTGAACCCGCTTAGTTAACAAAACTTCATGTTTGTTCACAATAGGTTTTTCGTTGGAATCTGAGACTGAATCCACCATTGTAAGACTTTGAAAAATAAGGAATGAGATGGCTTCATTTCTAGATGTTGAATGTTGCCAGGAGGGAATGCCAGTGAACATTCTCGACAACCCATGATGAAACACGCCATGAGGACATATGTCGATACTTACCTGTACCAATATAAGTAGACTGTATTTCACTTCATTAAGGAGCATCTGGCAGTCAGCGCCAACAGGGAATCGATTATCACCCAATCTGTCTGTCTTTCGATTAAACTTACCAAATCATTTTCCTTAGTTGTGAAGTTCCGTGAAACTTCGTGAGAGTTTACATTCAATTTCAAACTCGACTTCAACTCCCAGACTTCCAGAGGAACAAGACAATGCCAGACCAATCTGTACAGTCGCCAAGATCTGAAGATGGTTGTCAAATCATGGTGACTACACCTGATTCATCTCCCGCGTACTCAATGTCGTCTACGCCATGGCCTGACCCTGAGCCTGGCCAAGCGCTCTGGAAGAGTCAGTCATGGGCAGGATGGACTCGAGATCTCGAACATGAGCTCAAAACAATTCAAGCGGTAGATTGGATATTAATCCCCTCTCTCTCCCTCTGTGGAACTCGAAATATGTTGACTGAATTGACTAACGTGGAATTATCCAAAGGAATACGACGACTACATTGATCGCGTCGAGGACCGCCTCCGATCTGAAAAGAAAAGGAATAAAGCATTGATCAGGGAGGTTCAACGTCTCAACGAGGAGTTAGATGCCGCGAAAAAGGTCAATGGCATCGAAAAGCTGCAGCGCCAGAACGCGCTGGCGCTGATTGATGCCGCTAGACAGGAACTTTTAACTTCCGCCAGCGAGTACGATTCCAAGTCGTCTTTCATGAGGATACTTACCAAGTTGGGTTTGTCTCGTAGTAAGTGATTCCGTCAGGATAAGGCGTTTGTTACGGAGGAATGGATACGGCCCAGGTGGCTGGTGCAATTTGGGATGTTACTTGCAACTTGATAATTTGATATTATTGAACTGAGAATATGAGATAGTGCTCGCGATGATTTTGTGAGCTTGTGAGAGAACGCTAAGCATTTCAGTAGTTTGACAAGAGATAAATTCAGTTCTATCCCACCAACTGCTAAATAGCGTCTTTACATCCAACTCCAGTCTTTCTCCAAGATTAATCTATGTCGGGATTATTCATAGGCAGATATAAGTGAAATAGAGCAAGACTAGAGAAAGACTGAAGACGGATATAGTGACGCTATCTAGCATTTGATGGGATAGCATTGAAAGTTCTCAATTCGGATGCCATGTGGAACTAAGATTGCGGCTCCTCCGTTGATACCTTGCCAGCGCGGATAGGCTTTAGCCATCATGTCAATTCAATGTTAGTTGACATGAACTTCCAGGTATGAATCACACTACTAATACCATTAAGAACGCTTTTCTAGTCTCTCAGTTTTCAAGAAGGGATTACTGTAACCTTCACGAAACTTAGAAAGGTGTCTTGTTTGGCGGTCCTTCCAACAGCATTTACACACTTGACGATGGAAGGTAGTATCAACGGCACTAATTGGCCTCACGGTTATCACAAGATCGGCTTCGGACAATGCGGCATGATCTACACCAAACCAGCCCTCAATACCGTCATCAAAGTCGCCCGGGAGTCCTACCAAGAAGCCTTGTGGGCAGATTTCTAAGCCCACGTCCGCGTCTACGATACCCTCCAGAAACAGACTCGCCTCAGATGCCCCAAGACCTCTACTCGAAGCAAATTGAACTCAACTGCCGAGTCATGAAAGTCTTCTCTTATGCTCCGAATCAGTCAGCATGGTGGGATACCGACAAGCATATCTTCGCCAACGAGACCCACGAATCCTCCGACTTTCCCTCTACGGCGCTCATCGCCGAACGCGACCCCACGCGGTCCGATCTGACCCGGAATCTCCTCATCGATAGGGTCTGCCTAGAGGACATGCGCGAGATTCACAGAATCGACCCCAGGAACAAAGATGCCGTGGCCCTTATCAACCCAGGACGACGAAGAGCCCCCAGCACGCCGCGATCTTGGAACTTTTCGCTACGGAACTACAACCTGCAGCCAGATCAGGTGATTGATCTTCATATGCCGGTAGAAGAGTGCGCTAGGCACATGGCCAGAACCCCCGCCCAGATCCACTTATGCGCCAACGTCGACAGCTGCGATATTGAGTTCGTCCTCGGCGGTAGTCTCTACGAAAGCGATTTGGTCCGCAGACATCGTCGACTGAGTGGGATGCCTCACAACTCGGCTCGTAAGCTGGGATGCTCCGCCACCGGCTTTCTCCGGAAATCTCGCTCCACTTTCATCTAGTGGTCCAGATTGATCTCACGAGGCGGGTACTCAGAGTACAGAATCCGCGTGTAGAAGACCACAGGGTCGTCACGGGGAATAATAGATCCTCATTATCTCATCCCAGCCCGCCAAGCAGTACTCGTCTATTTTTTCTGGTGTCCCCATGTGAAGAACTATAATCGTTTCAAACGCTTCTTCTTAAGTAGCTGTGAGTTAGTGGTGATGAACGAATCGGAATCTGTTCCAAGAATGATTAAGTAGCTTGCGGGCCGTTGGACTCGCAACATCGGGTTTGTAAAAGACATATTGGTCCAGGTAGATGGTGTCGATCTCGACGTTGACCCAAGCGAACCTTTTGGGTTTCGTTTCCGGGGCGACGTTTACCTTGGTGTAAAAGCGCTGGAGGTGTGTCCGAGTTCCGGCGCAAGTGCGAAGTAGGGGAGGCGGCAGCGCAGATGATGGTCAGGGGTACTGGTTGTAGGCAGGAGGTTCTTCGTCATATATGATCTGACGGGATTCCATGGCAACTTGCCAGATGCGCTTACGCACTTCTCGAGGGAGAAGAGGAAAGCAATGGAAAGCTGGCATCGTAGGTCGCTGCGAACTAAATATAGATTATCGTAGAGCAGTCAGTCTAGTTTAGCGATTTAGCTAGAAGCGCAAATGTTGTGACTGCTTGAAGAGTAAAGTTGAGTTCTTTTCTGAGCGATTTCCTCGAGTGATGTGATAAATAAGATAGGCCGCCAGCGGCACAGACATCTTACTAAAGTTGTGCGACGCCATTATCCTTCCTCCCAAATCCTCTGAGGCCGGAGATTGGACATCGATGCGCTCTTTCTACGAGATAGGAGAGCCTCCAATTCTAGTCTTCCTACTTGGAACCCAAACTCGGGCCTATGCCCGGAGCTTGGTCTCGAGGGCCAGTTGATCGTCCTCGTTATGTAGGTTGGTGGTTATTGACAGTCATTCAGCCGTTTCAGTGCCTTGGGGATATCAAAGAGTTATGTTCATGTTACGAAGGTTCCTCTTTTGTGCCTGAAATCCTCATATGTGATTCTGCCACGAATACGTGTGGTCGATCGACGAGATGGTAGAAAGCCTAAGATTTCTTATCAATGTCGCTCAAGACCTCTCATCGCGGGGTCAACCCAGTAGGAAGCGACCGTCCGATAAACACAAGTCCTTCCATTATACAGTCGCAGCATCAGATGAGGGAGACCATTCCCCATCGCCCGATCTCCGAGACGTCAAAACCCCCACTTCCATGCCGCCTCCACGAACAGACGTCACATCGTCCCGAGTATCATCGCGCGAAGAAAGCGGGCCCCGCCGGACCCGCGATCGTGGAAGCGGGGGAACGTCACAATGACCCTCACACCTCATACATCTCGGCCCCTAAGGTCGGCTCAACAACCCACCCCATCCCATGACAACTTCACACCTCTCAGCATACCAACCCGATATCACAACTTACACCCCCAAGACTCAACTTCAAAGCACCGTTATTCGCAAAAACAAAACCACCACAATGCCCTTCCCCTCCAAAACAACCCTCGTTACAGGCGCGACCTCCGGCATAGGCCTCGCCCTCGCTGAGCGCCTAATTGCAAACGGCACCTATGTCATCGCCGTAGGCCGCCGCAAAGACCGCCTCGACGCCCTCGTCTCCGCCCACGGCGCCGATAAAGTCGCCGCAGAGCCGTTTGATATCGCTGACCTCGAGGCCCTGCCGGCTTGGGTCGAGAAGTGAGTCTACCTTCACATCCTCCCCATTATGGAATCATGGTATCCGTATTGTCCCCATAGTTTACCATAGACAACCCGCCTCCCGGCATCTCACTAACCAGCAACATCAAAACTAACAAACAACCTCCAGAATAACATCAAACCACCCAACCCTAGACACAATACTCCTCAACGCAGGCATCCAGCGCAGCATAGACTTCGCCTCCCCCTCCAGCATCTCCCTCCCGGCCGTCTCAGCAGAGCTCACAACAAACTACCTGGCCCCAATCCACCTCATCACCCACTTCCTCCCACACCTACAATCTCTCAACAGCAGCACCACCACCACACGAACAACACCAACAACGGCATCCATAATCCTCATCTCCTCAGGCCTAGCCCTCGTCCCAATCCCCCGCTGCCCAAACTACTGCGCCACAAAATCCGCCCTCCACTCCCTCGCCTGGTCCCTCCGCGCCCAGCTGCAGTCGAGCCCGTCCTCCTCCCACATCCGCGTCGTCGAGGTCGTCCCGCCCGCCGTGCAGACGGAGTTGCACTGCCAGCAGCCGGACCTCGTCGCGGCGGGCCAGGCCAACTTTGGCATGCCTCTGGACGAGTTCACCGATGAGACCTGGGCCGCGCTCGAAAAGGGGGAAGATGACGAGATCATTGTCGGGCCGGCCAAGAATTTTGCGCATGTCGATAGGGATAGGAAAAAGATGTTTGACAAACTGGCAGAATCATTCAAAGCCGGCAACAAGGCGTAAAGAGTAGAAAGTGAGAATAGAAAAAATAATAATTAAAATTTGATCATGAATCACCCGACAAGTCAACAGTTTGGAGGTGTTGGGCATCAATCTGTATTGTGCCTATTCCTATGCTAACTACATTCCTGTCCTGTCAGCCGCCATCATCATCATCGTGCCGACTTTTCAGCCAGCTGCGACGAAACGACTTGGGGTTTGTGCGCGTTTGCCTTATCTGTAAACAATTCCCACGAGGACCGTAAAGAGAAAACGAAAAGCAAGTGTCTCACGTCGTCCGGGCTCATCCCCATTCCATCTCAGGAGATCGTTCCGAGTCCCGTCGCGCAGAACCAAAGTTCCATGTTCACTTGAGAAGAAAGACACCCAAGCCTGGCCCAAATCTTCCCTTACTCCCCTGCCCCAATGGTATATCTTTCTCTTGATCCGTCCAGCTCAAGACTGTTTTAGCCTTTGGAGATGTTGCTTGTCCAGAGTCATAAGAGTAATATCAGTAGCGAGAGACTGTCGACAACCCGATAACTTGGTTAAGAATGTAATAGAAGTGAAAATGAATTTGTGAGTCAACCAAGCTTCGGATGCTGAAATGTAAAATGAACCGCCTAACCCCTTGAAAAGAACACCGTATGATTCGTAAGAGCGCGCCCAACCCATCGTTCAATCCTGCAGTGCGAGGGGTTGAGGGTCAACCTCCCCCTCGTGCAGGTCGTCAATAAGGAAAGACATAGGTGTGCATAGTCTTCATAACGTCCGGGGACCAACAAGCCTACGCGAGAATGCCGCTCTTGCGCTTCTCGGCGCTGGTGAGAACCAGCATGGGCGCCTTGCGCTGTCCGTCCGCTACTTCGACACCGGCGCGTTGGGCCGAGTTCTTGAAGACGCTGGCGAAGCTGTTCTCGCCGCTCTCGTTGCTGCCAATGCTGTCAACGCTCTTGCGAGTTCTTTGGCGGGAGCTTGGGCGGTCGGAGCCAATAGCTCCCCAGCTGCCGTTGGTCGAGGTTCTTGAGCTGGGCAGGGAGCAGTCGATGTCGCCAGCAAGACTGCCGGATCCACTGCGACCAGAGTCTGACTCATTGTCGGTAATAGGAGTACCCGACTCTTCCTCAGCACTCTCTGAGACCGGGCTCATGCTGCCGTTGGAGCTGCCTGGACCCTTTCGACGTTCACGTCCAGCACGGACAAGGTTGTGAACCGCAGATCGGCGGGCGCGGGTGGCAAAGTTCTTGCTGCCCTCCATCTTAGCGATGGGCTTAGCCTTCAGCTCCTCAATGGAAGGGGGTCCGCGGGGTTGACGGATGGGGTGCTCGCCGGCGCGTCCCTGGCCGGGCCCGTAGCCTCCAGACAGAGGAGTTAACGGGAAAGACGCCGTCTTGGGTCCAGCAGACTTAGGAGGCTCCTGGGAAGGCGAAAGGCTGGCTTGGTTGTTACCATTCAGAGCGAGCGACATGACCTTCTTATGGCCACGGCGGAAGGCGTTCGCCGACGGGGGAGGCAGAGGAGCAACCTCAGAGGGCGACTCGTAACGCTTCGGAGGGGTCGTGGTGCGGTACGGAGTGGCGTGGTTCTCGGGAGGCGGGGACACCTGAACGCGAGGGGCTTGCTGCTGCTGCTGCTGCTGCTGCTGCTGCTGCTGGGCCAAGGCGGCATAGATTTGAGCAAGCTGGGCCTGCTGGTCGGTTTGTCCCTGGTCAATGTAGTAACCCTGTTGGCGGGTAACAGGGTCATAGTACGTGTAGACCTGTTGCTGGGGCTGCTGCTGCATCTGTCCCATCATCGACTGTTGGATGCTCTGAAGCTGCTGCTGCTGCTGGTACATGGCAAGCTGCTGCTGCTGAATCTGTTGCTGAGCGCCTTGCAAGTTCAGGCCCTGGAATTGCTGAGCGGCGGCCTGGACACTGAGAAGCTGTTGCTGAAGGCGCTGCTGCTGCTGGGCGAGGTACATGTTGGTGGCAACCAGCTGAGCATACAAGTTCGGGTCCATCTGCTCCTGCTCATCGAAATGAATCTCAGGAGGGGCAAGAACTTGCTCAGCACTATAATGCTGGCTGGAGGGAACGGACTGGTATGCCTGTTGCTGCTGCTGCTGCTGCTGCTGCTGCTGCTGACCAGCATACCGAGGCATGGCTGTCTTAGGACCGTTGTACTGGTTGCCCTGGGCCTGGGCGTACATGTTAGAACTCAGGTTGTTGCTCCTAGCAGCAAAAGACTGAGATGTGGGCGAAGCGACGTTGAAATTGTTGGTAGCAGAGAAGTTGGCGGCGGTAGCAGACTTCGGGGCGGTTCTCAGACCCGCAAGGAGATGCGAGCGGCTAGTACGAGGAGTGGGCGCTCCATTGTCGGCGGCATTGCTGCCGGGAGTGGCGCTGGACAGCGAGAGGGGCTTGACGGGGCCGCCGCGGCGCGAGGCGAGACCTCCGCCAGGCATGGCGAGGCTATTGCCCGAGGAAAAGTTTGTCGAGTTCATTTGAGCGAGACCGCCTGCGTCCATTGCTCAGACGGGAATCGATGTCGGTCACAAAAATGAGCTGGCGAGGTTGCCGGTTTGTCCGAGTTGTCGGGACTCGGTAACTCGAGAAAGAATGTATGGAAGCCTTGCAAGCGGCTGAGGCGACCGGGTCGAATTACAAGAAGGATAGCTGAGGAAGAATGCGTAGCGCAATTTGTCAAGAGAGATATTATGGTACTCAGTTGGCAGTCCTGTCCGTGATTGCGGTGTGTATCCGAACGATCTTTGGCGAAATCCGGAGCTAGTCCTGGAGCTGTGGCACAAGGGTGTCGACGGAGGCGGGTGAGTGAAGGCGCCAAAAAGTCGAAATCCAAAAATCGGCAGGGATTTGGATGTGGGAAGTGACAGCGTGGGTGTCGGGTGAGATTAGATGGTCGCGTAACCGGGCGTCAAGGTCAAAAGGAAAGCAAAAAAATGATTGTAATGATGAAAGAGTGGGCGACAATGTGATGCCGATGAAGGTGTAGACAGCACTGGGGCGTCTAGAGACACTTGGCAAGAAGCGGTTGTGGTCGAGGAAAGAGGTGCGGACCACAAAGAACCAATTCTTCTTTGTTGAACCGAGGTCGAAGGCGCAAGCGTGATGATTGTCGCTACAGATTCGGCAAGAGAGAAAGTTAGGTAACTTGTAGCTTCCTCAAGAAACCGAAGAGATTTGGATAGCTGCGAACCTGATGATGTGCCTGGGAAAGTTGGCGTTGCTTTGCGTCGGATGAGACGGAGCGGTGCTGAAGATTACGAAGTGGATTTTTTCTCTGATGTATTTGTTGCGAAGAAGAAACGGATTGGGCGAAGTCGAAGTAGAATACAGTCGATTAAAAAGTGATTTCTCGGATGGATTGGTGTTGTTGTTTGTTGATGGTCAAGACAGGATGCAAAAAGCACAATGCGATTGCTGGCGGGATGGACCGAATTCCTTTTTGTTCCTTTTTATTTCGTCCCTCTCGGGGGATGGGGGGAGAATTGTGCGTGTGGTGGTGGTTGCGCGAAATTGCGGAGTGGTTGTGGTGAGCAAGCCTTCCAGAACCCCTGAAGAATTTGTGCGGTTGATTGGAAAAAACTGATGCGAGACGGATCTCAAGAGAATGCGAGAGCTTTTGGGCTTTGTGGGTTTTTTTCTTTTTTCTTTTCTTTGAATTTTCCTTTTTTATCCTTCCAAAAGACGACGACGATAACGAACAAATCGCAGACCAGAGCGGCGGGGGGAAAGAGGAGGGGGAGAGAAAGGTTGAAGGAGGGAAAAAAGAAGGGCGGTGAGCTAACGAGAGGAAGAGAGGGCAAAAGTAGAAGTGGAAAATGGAGACGGGCAGCGAGTGGACGGCAAGATATGGAGATGGGATGTGTGCGTGTGTGCGTGTGTGGGTGGGTGGGTGCCGCGGCGGCGTGGGAGGGAAGGAGTGGACGAAGCACAGGCAAGGAAGGCAAGGGGTGGGTGGTGTGGTCCAGTGGTGTGGGCAGCGGCGGCAGGAGCAGCAGCACCCAGCAAGAGAAGAAGCAGTAACAGCAGGAGCAGAGCAGGGCAGGAGCAGTAGTGTACTGGCAGTTGCAGCCCAGTCAACCGCTACTGGCAGTTTGAGAGAGTTCCAGTCCAGTGAAGCAGGAGCAAGCGGCAGGAGTCACTCACAATAGATACGTAGTAGGCAGGAGATGGGGGTGGATGGAAAGGTGGAGGGGGGGGGAAGGAGGGAACCAGACCAGGACGGGCCAGGACGGCCAGGGCAGACAAGGGTGTGAAAGGGCAGGCACCAAGCAGGTGCACCATCCAGGGGAGCCCAAAGAAAGTGGAGATGGGACAAGGCCAGGCCGCCAGACAAGGCCCAGGTCCTGCCAGGTCAACGACCGTGATGCACACCACCCACAGTTCCACAGTTCCACCACCCAACTCTACCAACTCAAGGCGAGAGACGCGCGACCAATCAAAGAGGGTGGAGTCAAGGACGGGCGACAAAATAGGCCAATGATGTGATCAAGAACCGAGGACAAGGGTCCTTGGAGTGGGTCAACCATGCCATTCACGCCAGATCCAGATGTACCTCTGTGCCTTGCCTGAGGTGCCTTCCCGTAACGCACCCTTTGACTTTTTTTTCCTTCCTTTTCATTTATGAAGATGCACTAGAAAGGATAGAGAAGTCTGCTGTGTCTGCATCTGGACTTGCCATAATGGACAGACTCCACTTTCATATATCCACCACAGCCTGCAGGAAGAAAGAGACAAGGAGGGCACCTACCAGCAAATACCAGAAAGATGAAGGCGAAGCCGCAAGAAAAAACTAAATAGACTGCCCGAATTTATCAGTGCCACACACTGAATTACGAGAATATCTTAGCCTTACGGAGTACCTGGAAGTGTCAATCAGGGCAAGACCGCGTCGGCAATGCGGCGGCGGCATGATGGGTCCAGCTGTGGCTTCATCAAAAATTGAGTGCTGAGGCAGACAGCCAGTCGAGGAATGCGACTCGGTAACAAGGCACGGCCAGGGATGATTACTGACGGCAGCCGAGCAGCGATCCCATTTTTTTGTCGCCTTCTTCAGGTTTTTTTTTTTTTTTTTTTTTTGCTTTCTTTTCGGGCACTCTATCCGTATAGTATTATCCGCAACTCTAAGAAACTCACATGTACTCCGTACCTTCCAGGTTTTCCACAGTATACCCGCGCGGGTCATATCCGGCAAGACTTTCATTGTCTGCTGAGCGCTGGATGCCTTGCCCGTCTGTTTGCACATCAGTCGAACCACCCGAGTTGACTCATCCTCGTCAAGGTAGACTCGGTACGGATACCATACCTCAAGACAAAGGACGGGAATATCACCATTGACTTATTGAGTGAGTAGGTAATACTGAGTACTCACGGGTACTTAGCATTGAGAATCCAACTGTGGTGGGCATGTCAGGTGGTCTTGTTCTTCCATCGTTCCTGCTTCGACCTTGGAGGCACCTCACCCCGAGTACAAGGTACTGAGTGCTTGACGGCCACCCCAATTTGGCTAGTCGATGTGATAACTTGAAGCCTTGCCGGCCAATCACCGCATAGTCTTTCTTAGGCTAGAAGACGTGACTCGAGGTCAAAGGTAAACTCGCCCCTCCATCTGCAACGATGTGCCGCCTTAAGCAAGTATCTTTGTACCTCGCGGCCTCTCCTCCTCTCCTCCTTCCCTCCTTCCCCTCTACCTTCAGCTGCTGCTGGCCTCGCGTTTCTGGCTGCTGCATCCTGCACATCACTGGATTCTGTCACTACTGCCTCCTGCTCGAGGGTGAAAACCTGCTGCTGCTGTTGCTGCTGCTTAGGTAGTCTTTCACCACTCTGGCCTGCAGATGTCGTTGCAACTGTTTCCAGATTCTGATCCAAGCAACCAAGCCATGTGTCCACAGCTCATGCAGCAGCAGTGCGATGCATCCATCATGTCCTGCATCACAGTGCACACCAAATCCCAAAGGCCAGCAGCACTAAGGTAGGTAGTGGTTGGTACCTAATCCCCTGAGCACCATCATTCCACGGCCCTCCGCCCCGGGACTCGCTCAGACTCCCGAGCCATCACGGAGACCATCACCCGCCCACCATCCAACACGATCCAAGACATCCATCCAAGACAACAACCGCCTCTGGCATTCCATCCCGTCTGATGGGAATCTCTTTCCCCCCCTTCCCCTGGCGACAAAACGATGCCTTGCTTTGGGCTCTGGTTCTGGTTCTAGCTCTGGCTCTGGCTATCGCACCGATCCTCGCATCACCATACCACAGAGCAATGACTCCTCCTCAGCACCTGTTCCAACTTCCAGCTACCTGAGCACGAGCAAGCATCAACCCCCCCCGACTCCATTACTGCATCAACAACAGTCTCATCGTGACACTGCTCCTGATCAGAACACCCGACTTGACTTGTTCAGAAGTACATACGGGTACATCTTCTGCCTCTGAGAGCTGGCTTCCAAGACTACCTACCACCACTACTACGACCGCACGTCAATGCACAGCACCACTCACCACTCATCTCCCTACCACAGTAGTGTACCACCCACCATTCTCCAAGTTCTGGCCGTTTTCAGGGGCTAAACTCTCGCTAGAGCCCAGATCGCTGGTCTCCCCGTCTATTGGGTCTAGCTCTCGTTCTCGCTCGCACCCGCTACATCGAACATGCTTCCATGCCACCATGCACTCCTTGTGGACAAATTTATTACGATACCGGCGTTATGGAACATGCTCGCCATAGCATAATGTCCCGGTCCAGCTTGGATCGAGAGCCGTCCAATCCAACCAACCAGCCATTCACCAGAGTCCATCCCATGCGAGGACCCCGACCGAATCCTGTCTTTTCTATTTCTGTGCTGATCAACACGGAGCCGAAGCTCTCCCACTTGGCAATGGGGGAATCCACCGCAAAACGCCGTCTCATCAATCAGCAACGATATCGACAGCCGTTCAAACACTGCCAAGGTGGCCCTTTTCCCAACACTAGAACAAGACTTTGGTGATCCTTCATCACCCGTGACCCAGCCCAAGGGTTACCCGCGACTACGAGCTCTTGGTCAGCCATGACGGTAGCCGCACCCGATCGGGCCTTACCACGCTTCTCATCTTTGGCTGGGATGTTTACTCTCGACGCCGTCGGAAACACAACGACGCCTTTACCATCTACGGGTACGGAGTAACTTGATGGCCGTTGATAACTGATATTCTGGTCGCGTGTTGGATACTCGGATTTTTTCTCCTGAGGCCATGACTTCGACCGTATTGATCTGGCCGTGTTACTACAGACGATCGTGCTCAGTAATGATTGACATCGGCACAAAGAACGCTTCGCCGCACACTAGACGAAAGCAGATTGGCACCGACAACACGGTGGCGGCATCTCCATCCCCATGGCAAGCTTTGACTGCTTGGACCTCCTCCAGGGGCTCCCCCGTACACCACACGATACTTTCCATAGATGCCGCATCTCCCCGCCAAGGCTTCCCAACTTAATTGTGAACGACTCAACGGTGGTTCATCATTTCTTCGGGAACGCAGAAAAAGAAGACAGTTCTGTACGCCGTAATCTGTCCGCCTGAGGCTGAACAGTCTTGTGACCCCGTTGCGCTTCCCTCCTCGCTCATCTAGCTCTCCGGTCTTCCGGCTCGTTTCCTTCAAACAAGGCGGCATAAAGTCTAGTGCTGTCCGCTCTTAGGAAAGGGCGACAATCGGGGTAAGCGACATCAGCTGTTTCCATGTCTCACTTCCAGCATCTCCCCAACTTATTGTCTGCTGGCCTGTTTCCTATCAGAAAGCTTAGGGAAGCCTGTTTCACCTCCTTCGATAACGTGGTACATGGCGTCGTGGCACCTGTCTGCTGTTTTCTGGCTACTTACCTCCACATGCCGAGGTACCCCGCCATCACGCAACGAGTCGCTGCTCAGAATAGCTCCTCGCCACCGAGCAGCTTCTGGTGACACATTCCCACCTGCTGGACTCGTCATTCTGCACCATAGCTTTTCCGTTAGCTCAAACATGGTGGGAAGCTTCGCAGTCAGGTTCCCAATCAATATGAGAATGCCTTGAAGGTGATGTGTTCCTCTACAGCTCCACGAATGCCAGCTGGTGTCCTGAAGCTTGGATGACAAGCGTGCTTTCTAGTCGTCAATCACTCAAGGCGGAACACGCTGGCGTAGCCAACAATGTCCCCAAAGCCGTTTTGAGCCCTCATTCTCCGTCGCCCGCCCGGACCAAGGCTACAACAACGGACAAGGAGGCGGACAGTGGCTACGATGGGGCCCATATGGGATGGACCCGCGAACTTGATGGATACGAACCTGTCTGCCATTGCGTCCGGCCACCCCAGGTTCTTACGGAGACTTTTCTCTCACACTGCCTCTTAACCCCCTTCTGCTTTTGGCCATGTATGCTAGGGGAGGCCACGCCTTGCAAGGTTTCTAGCAAGGGGCAAGGAACCTGAGACACACCCGCAAAGGAACACTTCAAGTCCTAACGGCGTCGTCTGTTCTGTGCGCCCGCTAGGATGTGAGCATCAAACCTCCTGAAAAGTACCACAAGGTGACATTCTTGACGGATCTCGACGGGATATGCCCACTTCGGGGCTGTGACTGTCAGCAAGGAAGGTCCCGAGTGCAAGCCTGTCGCGAGAGCATTTTCGTCTCAATTGCCCAGTGTCAAACTTCGGACACTTCGAACTCGTCCACCTCTTGTCGCGCCCGACTGCCATCGCATCACATTCCGATACTGAAAGGTGGCCTTCTTCCAGAGTCACAACCAGGGAGATGTGAGAGATGCTACTGCTTGGTGGCGATAACTATGGCCACCACTCCATAGGTCTTTAGGACAAAGCCGTTCAGCCCGCTCTGAACGAGACACGACGGACGGTGTCCAACGTGCCAACTTAGCGTTCGTGGCTATAGCCCCTCCCGGCGCGCCTTGAGTTAAATTGCTTTGGGGAAATACGGGCCTCGCGATGCCGCAGACGCGTCTGCCCTGACGCAAATTGCGCGATGAAAGAATTTGTGGCTCTTCCTGCACGAGTCGCAAAGCCACACCAGCCATTCAATCCCAAACCCTCATTTCATTCGCAATCCTTTCCCACGTTGCTGACAGAAGCCGAACCCCGCGGTGCGAATATGGCGTTCCCGGCTTCACGGGAATATAGGGATTTTGACAGGAACGGAAAATCATTGCACAGAAAGGGCATGGCATGGCTTTGAGAGCTAGAGCTACCCGCCGCCCACTTGGCCGCCCAAGGCTTTGTCATGAGCAATGCCAACCGATCCTTGCCTCGTTCCACCGTTCGTCCCATCATGCACGCCGGCTCTCAAGGGATGGGCCCCTGAACTTGCTGCCGCGATCCGTCGGAGTGCTAAGCCCAATGATTGGTATCACCACTATCAGATGCCCTCTAATCATTTTCTCACAAGAGCGAATGCATACAAGTTCAGCTTTGGCCACGCTTGATCATGGCACAAGGTCCGAGTCACATAATGTCGACATGTGGTACTAATATGTGACTCCCTGTTAATCGACTTGAAGATCTCAGAGAAATACCTCGTGAAACGGGCTTTGGAGGGTGTTCACGCCAACCTGTGTTAAAAAGAAATTCCCAGAGGCAAAATGGGATCCGAACCTATGGCGACCGCCTGCATGCTGCATTCTGCAACCCCTTTCTCGGCGAGCGCTTAGAATGCAGCAACAGTGCTCGTTAAGAACGGATCTGCAGGCCTAGAGATCGCCAACGTGGCTCCAGTCAGTCGATTGCCAGCCCTCCACCTTGTGCCCATTGATCATCGGCCCAACTGTCTGGGCCCGTAACCGCCGGGGGTGATCACGATACTGATACTGTGATTGGTGCTGAATAAGTTGACGACAGCAAGCAAACCCGATAGTGGCTTTCTCTGCGTGGCGTTCCTCTACCCCGCTGCCATAGTTCAGCAAACGTCGTTGCGTTCATGGCCGAGAGCCTGCGATTTACATGAGAGCTTTCTGATTGGGCGAGATGGCGCGTTCCCTGTATCTTGAGTCTAGTTGACCAAGTATCTTTGTTCCAACAAGCGCGCAAGGTACAGTACGGGGGGGGCGATTCGCATGCTGTTGAGCTTTTACCGCCGAGGAGCCAAAGATACTTGGTTACGGTACACTGGATCGCCACGAGGCGCGTCAACGATGAAACTGGTAGCCGCGGACCTGGCGCCAGTATCCTGGATACCACGGGAACACGCGGACCTTCGTCACTCAATTATGGATGTTGCTGTCCCCGAGTCAAAACCAGTCTCGTTCAGCGAGGAACGACTGGCTCGAGAAAAGCATCGGTGAGCGGCCAAGTTCGTCAGCCGGCTCAGTCATACCTGAGCGCCTCCTGACGTACTGCTCCAAGGATTCGGGACAGTTACAACGGATACCCCCTTCATCAAAAAAAGGGTTGTTCAAGACTGCGAGTGCTAGACCGAACCTGTGGCCTGTTGAAGACCCAGGAGCTGACGGCCCTCAACACGACTTGGTCCTCGATACAACAGCATTCGCTCTATAAAGCCGAGTACCTACCTCAGCGAAAGACACTGAATCGATCCTTCCTATGTTCTTCCAGTC